ATCTCTCTCTTCTCTTCTCTCTCTCTCTCTCTCTCTCTCTTTCTATCCTTTTTTTAACCAGATCCCTTTATCGATATTATCGGCGATCATCGAGATCGACGAAGTAAAGATCATCGAAATCGATGCTTTTGCGTTCGATACGATGTTATTGTGACAAGTATCGTCCCGAGTATCGTGGACGACAGTGACGGACAGATTCGGTTTGTTTCGCGCTAACTTCGACTCTCTCTCCTCCCCCGATAATTTCACGATTCAGACGTGTATGTATTTTAGAATCTCGAACGAGGATCTAATCGGATTAGAATCGGGCTGTGCTCGGGACCGTTTGTCGATGTTCCGTATAATTTGAGTTGGGTGCACATGTGCATGCGTACGAATGCAGTGAGGAGCTATTGTGAATCAATAAGACGGAAAATCCTTGTACACTTCGGATACTTTTCGTGCGATTTCGCGAGAAAAGATCTCACGCTTAAATGCTAAGACTAACCGAACGTTCTTCAAAGCGTCTCACGCTTCAAATATTTTTTTTCTATAACCAACGTTTGCGTTCTTTTTTTTTTTTTTAACAACGATATACACACGAATGCATGAAATTCTTTTTTTTTTTTTGTGTGTGTATATTAATTTACTTTACGAAACGAATTGATTAACAAAACGCTCCTGCTAAGAAAACAAACTGAGATCTCAACGGCTTTTCGGTACCCAGGGGTGAAGGTACGCTCTAACGTTCTCTGGTAAGCCACACAAAATTTTTTTTCTATATGTATATATCTATTTTTATTATATATATATATATATTATCACGTATATATATACACACGTTTTTTACGCACAATAATAGACTGTGTACAGACGAACCGCAATCGTATTTAGTGTGCAATACATTTATCGCTCCACTTTCGTTCTTCGATTCTTTTCTTTCTTGCTGCGTTACCCGAGGTATCATATAATATCTTTCGTTCACGTTACGTCTTGTTTCTTTAAATTATTTATATTATTTCTGCCTCTTTTTTTTTTTTCTCTCAATTCTTATAATACTCTCCGATGTACATACATCTCACACATACGACACGATCCAATAATAATAATAATTTTTTGGTGGCGGTGCTTGTTTTCTATTTAATTTCGCTACTTGTACCTTTTTTAATATACATACATATATATATATTATCCACACCTTTGCTCGAATGTTATCAACAAAAAAAGATGAAAAAGGAGATACAAAGAAAATACGATTAGTTTGTCGAGACGAGTGTATAACGAGTCTCTATACCACTACCAACGCGTCAGCGTCGCGCTCGATCTGACGCGTGTGTACGTGTGTATGCGTGAGACGATCGAACGACGTGTTGTAAACAGGGACGAGAAAAGGAGAAAGATACACTTGTGAAATGCCGCGGCAACACGAAGGCCCGCCGCATTTCACGGCGATCTCACTTACTCGCTCGTAACGTTTTTTTTTTTTTTTTTTTAACGCGTGACAAACGCAAATCCATAAAACACACGTAAATCAAGAGATGTTCACCTTGGGTGGGTACGCGTAGGCATCCGCAGCGGGGAGGTGACACCGAACAGCCCATCACGACCGCACAGCTCCATGAGTCAGCAAAGCGCCAGCAGTGTGGGCAGCAGTAACGTCAATCTGCGTCCTCGTACAGCTGCCCCGCGTCGACCGCGACCTGCTTCTATTGCCGGTACCGGTGTTTCGGTCACAGAACGACACAGTGAGCATGCCTTTTTTTGAATACTCTTTTTTTTTTGTTATTTAAAAGAAAAAAGAAAAAGAAAAAGAGAAAAAAAAATAAACGGGTAAAGTTGAAGAAGAGTGGCGCTCGAAAGTGCTCGTTTCGCACGGGCGCAACGAGCGTGCGAATCCATTCGACGAGAAGAAATTCTCTTTTAACCGCGCGATACTTGGATACCCGAATACTTTGTTTGCCGACACTTTGTCCGCGTCTCTTTCCTCCGGTTTTTCTATTTTATATTTTATCTCGACTCGTTGATTTTTGCGCCATTTTTGATTTTACTGTTTTTCTTTTTCTTTTTATTAGGTCGCGGGTATAATTTTTCTCCCTCATTGATTTTCCTTGTTTTTTTTTTCTTTTTTTTTTTTTTTCATTATTATTATTGACGATCTTCTTCCTCTTATTGTTATTGACTCGAGATTGCACATTTAAATACCTCGCGTGTACGTGATATTAGAAGAATCGATGGAAGGCGGTTAACGTGAAATAAATTGGTACGATGATCTACAGATCTAGTGAGCGAGACGAAGTCGCCGAAAGATTCGAAGCCGCCACTGCCAAAGGTCCATAGCACTCCAAAGAAAACGTCTACACCGAAATCGGCGGAGATGAAGAAGCCGAGCGAGAAGCTGGTGAAGAACGCGAAGGCTTCGCCCCGGATAACTCCGAAAGTGACACCGTTGCAGAGTCCTGGCGCCGAGAACGCTCCATTGATCCGCGGTAGTACCGGGGAGATAATAAAAAGCGAGGGGAAGGAGGATAAATTGGAGGATAAGCACGAGGAGAAGAAAGACCAGGGCAGCGAGAAAACACAAGTAATTAATTTTCTCGTTCATTAACGAGATGAAATAAGCGTGGCTCCGACGCGCACCCCGACCGATGATCGATCGCCCGATTTATATTCTCGTTTCGTTTAATTAATTGCAGCAGGAGATAAGCGCCGCGGAACAGGGTAACGACGAGGTGAAGAAGCCGGCCGTTATAGAACAATCCAATATCGTGTCCAAGCAGGCGAAGGACGAGACTAATTTGAATCAGGAGAATCAATCGGCTGTGCGATCTCAAGAAACGGCCAAAGCTGCCAAGAAGGAAGCCGAGGCCAAGTCTGAGAGCAACGTGGAGGAACAGGTCGATATGTCTGGTAAGTTTGTTCTGGACCCTTTTGAATATTGGAATATTGAAATTCAGAGGATCGAGGAATAAATTTTTTTCTTCCTTCCTTCCTTCCTTTTTTTCTCGAAATTTCTTTTTTCCAGCATCGATGATAGCAAAGATCCGGATCACTACGGAAGAGGAAGCCAAGGCAGCTATAGCTGAACGTAGAAGATTAGCTAGAGAACAGGCTGAACGGGAAGCCGAACTTGAACGCCAACGACAGGTGAGGTTTTAAATAGGTCCTTCGTATGAAAGATCGCATTGTTCGATGGACGATGAGAGAAGGAAGGACTTGACAAAGAGACTTTTGTTATCCTTTTACAGGAGGAAGAAGCCCGTTTAGAGGCCGAGAGATTGCGCGCCGAAGAAGAGGAACAGCGACGTTTGGAGGAGGAAACGCTTCGTTTGGCTAACGAAGCTCGAGAAGCTGAGGAACAGAGACTGAGACTGGCGATAGAGGAAGCGAAACGTCGCGAGGAAGAGGATAGGAGGAGAAGGGAAGAGGAGGCTCGTCAGAAACAGGAAAAAGAAGAGGCTGAGCGGAAAGCGAGGGAAGAAGCGGAAAGGTCAGACGATTTATTTGAAATGACACGGTTTTTTTATTATCCGCAAAGTGTGTTCATCGATTGAATAACGATCCGATGTTACAGACAACGGATCGAAATGGCAGAGCGTGTTAAGAGAGAGGAGGAAGAGAGACTCGCTAGACGTAAACGCGTCGAAGCAATTATGCTTAGAACTCGTGGCAAAAATCAGAGTAACACGCCTACGAAGGTGAGATCTTTTTTGTAAAATTCTCTGTTGATTACATTTTTTTATCGATGAATAAGGGATGTTTATTATGTATGTGTAATTTGTAGGGTGAAGGTGGTGATGGCGATAAGTTGAAAGAAGACAGTCCTAACGATGAAAATAAAACAGCACCAGTTAATAAAAGCGAGGATGTTATGACAGCCAGTCTGATATCCGAGGCGACTCAACAATTCATTAGCGGAGAGCAGCGTGCTCATCACACGGAAAACAATACTACTACGGACATTGTGCATAACGGCACGCATAGTAATGGCATTAATGAAAATAAAATTGTATTGGATAATAATCAGGGTAATGTGGAAGGAGAACTGAATGGTCATCATACAAATCATGGAAACGGTATCAACAGTCAATCAATTACACTGGATAATGCCACTGTGTAAGTATAACAACTTACTCAAAGTTACAGATTCGTAACGAGCATTTATATTAGCGTAAGAGTTATTATACTGACATTTACCAACCATCATTAAAAAGAAAGAAAGAAAGAAAGAAAAAATCCAAGATATAACTGGATTTCTCATCGATAATAAGAACTGAAAGATAACATCGAAGAGCATCTCAAAGAATTGTAAGTTCATTTGGTTTTTAGATCATTCGACAATAATAATATTATGAATGCCCGTACAAGGCTTATATCAGATTAGCGAACATTGCTAAAAACTCCTTACACAGTGTACACCCACGCATTAGAAATTTTCATAACATTTTATGAGAATATATTTATTTCATTTTTTTTAGTTTTTTTCTTTCGTCGCATAGAATAAGAATATTTTTTTGAAAAAAAAAAAACGATCTTTTTAATCCGAAAATAAATAAATAGCGAATTTTAGAATATCATTTCTACGAAATGCATATTTTATCCAGAATTTTGTGCGAATATGATATACAAATATATATATATATATTTAACTAAACTTAATTGTAGTTTCGTTTAGAAAGCAAAATTATGGCTAATATAATTAATATAATATAAATAATTGCACAATACTAGCCATTATATATAAAAAATAAATTGACTGATTTTTAGTGCCGTTCATAAATATATATGAACGTATTCGTCGTATAAAATATAATTAAAAAAAAGATAAAAAAAAAGGTTAAAATGTGTTGAAATCATAAAAAAGGAAAGAAAAAAAAAATCAAAATATAAATATAAATCGGAGTACGAATCATATGTAACAACTACAAGTATCATGAACGTACATGCTAACATAGAATTATACGTGAAAAGTGCATTCGTAATCATTAATACTAAATGTATTCTTAAATTTTGATTTAACATGAATATAGAACAGTTCATATAATGAATGATTCAGGGTACCGCTCTAGTCATTTGTACAATATAAAGAAAGTTGTTTATAGATTCACAAAGAATTAATAGACACGCACATGCATACAATGTGAACTATAAATAACAATTTTTAAAATTTATTTAATTAGTTAGTCTATTTTCGAATAATAATCGCATAATAATAATATTACTTTTATCTATGTAACTCTATATCATTGTTGCTACAGATTTAATATCATTATTTTTTATCGTAACCTTTCGTTTTTTCAACGCTAAAATGTAAAACATTGAATAAAATGGCTAGAGTGTGAACATTGTTTTCTAAACGAATATATATATATATATATATACATACACATATAATAGAAATAAAAAATGTGCCACATTAAATACACACATATTAAGCATAACATATGATTTTTTGACCATAAAACAAAAAAAAAAAACTAATAAATGCATTGTTTGATTGTTCTAGAAAAGAACAATTAAGAAATATATGTTGAAAAATCATAATCCTGCAGTACGATTATACTGAATCATAAAGGCACATGGTATGTTGAGAATTAATATAAATTAATATGAGAATCGTTAATATGTATATAATGAATTTTGTTGTTTGAGATGTTTTTTGTGATACCCGTATGATAACGGAAAAATTAAGTTTGAGAATATATCTACGCTATATGTACACTATACATAGTTATTTAAATAACAAAAATTTATTGCGCTTTATCCATGAGTCACATCGGAAAGAACTGCTTATAAAATTCCATTTAGCTCGGTAAAAATTGCTTTATAATAAACTATCATTATAATGCAAACGATTTTACATACTATATTGTACATTGCAAAAGTAGTCAGAGCAATGGTTGACAAATATAAAAAAATATTTATGGCAATTATATATTGCTAATGAAAATTCATCTAATCGCACGACTATATTAATATAACTAACAAATTATATATAATATTATATCATCGGTAACTCGAGAGGTATGAGGAATGTATATTGTGTATTATCCATTATACTTATATATATATATATATTTTATAATTTATATTTAATCGTGTGCTAGTTTAAAAATATACTATTTTTAGGTAGACATCTAAAGGAATAATGAAAAATTTAACTTATATTGTACGCCGATTCTTTTTAATAATATGTTAATGGCATAAAAAAAAATGTAATGTTATACAAAGCATGGAAATGTTAAGCAACTAACAGAGCTATAGCGTTAAATATCAATTAATCAATAATAAATTCAGTGTACATAATGTAAAGAAGGATAAATAGCATAAATTTAATGACTCATCTAAAAAATTTTGTCTATAATTTTATCACAAAAGTTCATCAAAGATACACTGTTTCTATATATTATTATGTTTTCATATATTTTTATATTTATAGAGTGTAATCTTTGGTGAGCTATTACTTTATCTTTCCTCCATTACTAGTTACCACTCAAGCTCAACGTGTATGCCTTAAGTACAATGTTCGTATTAACATTTCTTCTTATCGATTTTATTACCACCATTGCATGTTGTGAATTAATTGTATCAATATGGTGTGGCTTCTACTTTTCTTTGCTCTACTTTGTACATGTTCTTTATGTTTGCGTTGTATATCATCCAGCAGTACGTGTCAACTTACTGTCTACTTTTGCTATGTACTATCAACCTCCACACATCTTAAAGTTATTCTTTTGTTAGTAAAAAAAAAAAAAAAAATAACATATATATACATATATATATTTCACACAATCCATTCCACAATTCCTATAGGAAGTTAACTATACCGGGCATGAATGTTTTTCATCTTATTCTATCTATGAATGAGAGAAAATGAGAAACTACTAATGGTTCAAAAATCATTATCGATAAAACCTGCTGTATGGTAATCATCTATCTATATTACTTAATCTATAATTTTATCGAAAAGAGAAATTCTTTTCTATGTTAATTGTGTTTCTTATACAATTTACGTTATGCCATAAAATTTTTTTGTGAGTTCTCAAATATATAGAAATGCTTTTTTTTTTTATAACTGCTTTACAGTATTAAAGTAGCTGCCTTACAAAATATTAGTGAGATATAATAGTGCTGATGCAAGATTAAATATTATCGCAAATTAAGTCGATTGTAAGTTTTCAGGATCAATGTTTGCTTTCAATTTTTTTTTTTTTAATTATAATTTGACACGAGACGAATAATTTGAAAAGATTCAGTACATAGTCTGTTAATTCTTTATTTCTCCTTCATTGTTCGTTAAAATCTTTTAGACATATTAGATACTTAAAAAAAATATTATACATATATACATATATATATATGACTTTTAAATTAAGATATAAAAATAGTTACTAACAAATAATTGTACGAGTTAATGCAGATATTAATATTAGCAAAATAGTTTCTCTATACGAGTCGTCTATGATGAGCTTGATCAATTTAGTGATTATAATTTTTATCTTAGAAATTATACGATAATACGCTGATGCGGTAGTACCTAGTATTAATCGCCTATTATTTAGTATTTGTATGTTTCCTTTCGCTGATTTTATAGCAAACAAAACAACGTGACCAACAACCTGTTAGACCTAACGGAATTCGACTCTCTCAGTAATAGCAGTAGTGGTCCAATACTCCAACTGACATCCAATTTGGCCAATGAAGACACCCTCAACTCGAACCTAAATCCAGCAGCTATACCTTTCACTCCAATGGCAAACACGTATATGCCTACCGCTGCTAATGCCAATGTAAATCCGTTCCAGGATTCTTTTATGAACAACAAACCACAAGATAATAGTCAAGTACCAGGTACGTTTGCGTATTACTATCGCGATACTGACCTCTGATGTATTACGATATGAATGTAACACTGTTCTTGATCTACAGATCTTTTATCATAATGCGCGTATTAATCATTCTGGTGAAAGGAAGAAGAGAGCGATTGGATTGAAAAAAAGAATAAAAAAGAAGAATTAAAAAAAAGAAAAAAAATGAAATACCTATGCTTTGCAGCGAGCAACGGGTATATAATATTCGAAACGATGTCATTTATGAAATAATGTAAATAAGCGCTATCGATGTGTAGAAATGGAGACCTAAGTAGAGAAAAAACGGGGGGCACTACGTCAAAGAGAAAAAGAAAAAGGAAAAAAAAAAAAAAAAAAAAAAGACTACTTTGTCCTTAAACGTCACGAGAAATGTAAAATAATATATAATGTTAATTATTAATATTATGTAACAGCAAATAGGCAACTCAGTCCGTTATCGTATGCTATTAGGTATAAATCTTTTTAGAGGAACCTTTAAAGGGAATAAGGCCTGTTTATAAAATTATTGATTTGAAATACGCGTATATATTTTATTGTATTAAAAAAAATTTCATTAAATTAATTTCACGCGTAATTACAATTCGCCCATAACGTGTCGCGTTTAGAAAAGTTTTTATCGAGAATTGTAATGGAACGAGATTTTATCGAATTTTGACGACGCGAACAATCGGTACAATGAAATCTTTATACGTAAACGAACGTGTAAAACGGCTTGACAAACATAGATAGCACAAGATATGATGAATTGGTTGAAATATTTTACTGAAACTTATATCTGCCAAAATGACGTAGGAGGTAAGCTCCAATGATTGTCCTTATATAAGAGATAGTATAATATTACCTATAGAATTTGAGTATAGAAAACGAATATATATATTATATACATATAGTCATATCTAGTAAGATCTTCTGCAGATATGATGTAAAGGAAAAAAAAAAAAAAAAAAAAAAAGAAACACATTTCTTCCATACTACATTTTGGGGCGTGCGCTCACTAGTCAAGCAATTTTACTGTTTTTATCATATTCTCC